ATGACTGTCACTTAAAAGTGATTGAAATTTTGCATTCAAGCTTGTCTTATGCCGTGATAGTCGGTACAAAATAACCATGGTAAAAATCACCATCAGTGAGAACGAAAATTACTGAGTTCAGAAATTGCGAACAGCCTATGAATCTTTGTAAGTAGTTTTTGATTTTTATTGTTTTATGTCCTAAATTTGTTGCAGATATTTAAATAAACCTACTGATAAGGGGAAGATCGTATTTTTACCTATGATTACACTGATTCAATCGTACATCAAACAGAGAGTTAAGAAATCGTATAAATACGATTTAAATCGTACGGTTGGCAACACTGAGACAGACAGTAGACGTGGACAGCAGTGGACAGTTTGTAAATATAAATGTCAGTTTTATGTATATCGAACCACATACTTTGATTTTCTTTTACTATAGTCGGAGATACGAAGAATGATCGCACTGCGCAGCTTTCTAAGTGCCTTTTAAAAGGAGATAGAAAACTCCGCCATTTTGATCCCTTATTACGTATTGCCTACATCTTGGCGCAATATTTTTAATAGGTGCGTTTTAATCATCCGCTTCTGCTTCGAAATTGTCAGTTTTCTTGTTTTATTCTGACAGGTTAAAACGACTAAACCGACAATTCCGAAAGCAGAAGCGAATGATTAAAACGGACCTGATATTTTGCTTGCTGCTGTCAGTTCCAGTGAATATTATTTTTGGAGTCACAGTTTATTGCTGAAGAATCAGTTAGCTCACTCGGACCAGTTGAAAGTTCCAAAATAACGTCCACTCCAGGGATATAAATTCAGGATGCGCAGAAGACTGCTGTTTTATTATAGGCGGTTGTCATATATTGTATTATTCGAGTTGCGCAATGTATAAACTGGAACGTTGAAAACAAAAGTGCCGACGCAGAGTAAGCGAACTGATTTTTTAGCTATAAACTGTGGTAAAGGCATCAAAATGGCCGCGCCCTATGTTGGGCGTGTCGGACCTCTCTCTTGCACCGTATAGTATTCAAAGTATGTGACATCGAAGAATCCTGAATTTAAATGTTATATTTTGAGTTTATGATTGTGTTATCCTCTAGATGAACTAAGCGAAATGGTTGTGGCTATTTTGGTGTGAAATTTGAGGACAATATTTATGTTTTGTTGTATTACAATAAGTCAAAGAACATATTGCAGTAGTAACACATGCTACATGAATAAATTTAACAACCCCAATGTGGAGTTCTTTAATTAACCAAAGTAAGATCTAGTCATGTAACACAAATGGTAACCAACTTTCGTCACAAAGTAGGTATTTATTTATTATTTATTGTATTAGAACAAGAAAATGGCTTCAAAACGTTAGAAAGAAGATTTGATATAGAAAGAAAATTATCTGAATTCCCACTCAACATTTTTAAAAAAGACACCATTGGCAATTCGTTTGGAAAATAACAAAATGTAATGTTACAAACAACGATCAAAAATTAAAAAAATATTTGTCATGAATAGATTTAGGGCCAGGCCAGTCTTTTCACTTCTGAGTAAAGTTTAGAGTAACTACTTGCTGATTAAACTATAGGGCTATTGTTTGTTAATCTGTCAAGTAAAGTTACATGTAACTTTACTCAAAGGTAAAAAGATCGACCCTTACAATAACTAATCGATAATAGACTGTAAATGTAGTAAATAAATAATTTAGCGTAATTACATTGTCTAAATTTATTTACAAGAACATGAGAGTACAGTCGATATTTATACAACCTTTATTATCAGGTTTTTATATTTCCCGCTGCGTTGTTTGATATCGATGAAAGCACCACATAGTGCGTCAGATGTTAACTGCGTTAAAGCCGGTCGTTGTTAAGCATTGGCTTCTTATGAGCGTTTTCCATCTTTATCTCCTTATCTCTGTTTTGGGTCATTCAAATTCATTAAGCTACGGTTTCTTAGCTGCGTCAAACGCGAGCGCAAAATGCCTGCGGTATACGCGGGGCGGTTAACACGGTGTATCTCAACTAGATAGGAAATCAAATATACTTGTATGTATAATATATATACCTAAAATGCGAAATTTTGTTTGTCAAATGTCGCGTGCATACAGGTAAAAGTAATAATAAAAATACAAACGATTTGACTTCTGGAAACGTCATTTGATAAGATTAGGTGAGCTTAATCTTTCTCATTTATAGTGATGTCGCGAGACGATACAATATGAGAGAGAGGCCTCTCTCGTCTCGTCTTGTTTTGTCTCGTTTCTCTCGTGATAAAAACATATTAAATTTAAATTTGGAAAAGATATACTTAGGACGAAACATAAGAAAACTGTAAAATTTTGAAGATAATAACAAATAATTTTTCAAGTAATTTGTCTCATCAGTACCCAAATTGGCAATAAGAACCACTTAGGGAAATTACTTTGGTATCACTCTGCCTATCCGTCTGTCACAATCGTTTTACTAAGACCACATACTTTGATTTTCTTTTACTATACGGAGAATGGTTGCACTGCGCAGCTTTCTGAGTGCCTTTTAAAAGGAGATAGAAAACTCCGCCATTTTGAACCCTTATTACGTGTTGCCTACATCTTGGCGCAATATTTTTAATAGGTGCGTTTTAATCATCCGCTTCTGGTTCGGAATTGTCGGTTTTCTTGTTTTAATCTGACAGGTTAGAACGACTGAACCGACAATTCCGGAAGCAGAAGCGGATGATTAAAACGCACCTGATATTTTGCTTGCTGCTGTCAGTGTCAGTGAATATTATTTTTGGAGTCACAGTTTATTGATAAAGAATCAGTTAGCTCACTCGGACCAGTTGAAATTTCCAAAATAACATCCACTCCAGGAATACAAATTCAGGATACGCAGAAGACTGCTGTTTTAATATAGGCGGTTGTCATATATTGTATTATCTGAGTTGCGCGGTGTATAAACTGAAACATTGAAATAAAAAGTGCCGACGCAGAGTGAGCGATCTGATTCTTTAGCTATAAACTGTGTCATAGGGTTCAAAATGGCCGCGCCCTATGTTGGGCGTGTCGGCCCTCTCTCTTGCCCCGTACAGTAATCAAAGTATGTGACTTAGTGACTTAGACACTATTTGACATAAATATTTGAAATTTAAAGTAATCAGTGGCTCAAATTGGGGTCTATTCTGTAACAATTCCTTTTATTTAACGACCTTTTTAAATACTTTTTATTCTTTACTCCTGTCATTATTTAAACGGATCTTTAGAATACATTAGAGGACTATCTTAAAGAAATCTGTTTAAATAATGACAGAAGTAAATTAACGAATACAAACATATTTTTAAAGGTCGCCAATATTTTTAAAGGCCGTTAAATATAAAGGAATTGTTACAGAATAGACCCTATTGAGCGTTAACTAAGAATCTATAGCAGAGGCAGAAGTTGGAAAGGCTTTTGAAAGGGGGTAAACGTCAAACCACGTCGGATGACTTCGAGAATTTTGCAGTAATGTTTACCTGCCAGTGTCGTTTCATAGAATAAGAACTGGACAATCGCATATATTTATGGACTATATATAAATATTAAGCATGTATTATAATACCCAAATCATAATTCTACGAAATTTTAACAGCTATTTACAATTTATTAAACTATTTACTCGAAATTGTTATTAACATCTAAAACATATTTTTGTACGCCAGTGGATCGCGTCCACATTGGTTAGATCCGCCGCAAACCTGTCAACTTATGTGTATGAAGTGGGAGAACTAGCAAAAGCCTTTCCAACTCCTTCACCTGCTATAAATACTTTGTCTTAGAAGTCAGTTGGGAGGGGGTAGGGTTTCATTTGGAAGTTAGAATTTTATTCGTGTGATATCAAATGAAAGCATTTTGAAGCGTGTTAACAATATAATATACGTTCGTTTCGTTTGCTTTTTCTTTGACAGGTGTTCGAAAAAACACTTAAGCATTGTTGTCTTTCTAATTTATCTTCAAAAGTAACCTCCGAAAAATTTGACTGCAAGGAAATTATTACGATTCTGTCCGTTGGTTGGTTTTTTATACAAAGAAATATCGGATGGCGCTTTTGTCTTGGGCGCTTATGTCGGGAAGCGCATTTGTTGAGGCGCTTTTGTCAGAGCTCTTTTTTCGGGGCGCATTTGACGGGTCACCATAAATAAAAATCGTGCAAGCCGTTTCCGAGATAATTGAGGCGTTCCATACTTAAAACTCACTGTGTATATAGAATAGGTATTTTATAGTTAACTTTTTGACTGTCTGGAAATCGGATATTTTTAAATTTTAAGTTACGATAAGTAATTGAAAATTTTAAAGAAGTAAAAAGTTAATTGCGCGAGAGAACTCGAGAGCTCGAGAGAAACGAGAAATTCTCGTCGAGAGATGACACTGTCTCGTCTTGAATCTTTTTTCGAGAAAAAATGTTTCTCTTGTCTCGTACGAGACGAGACAAGACGAGACGAGAGACGAGAATCTCTCATCTCGCGGCATCACTACTCATTTAGTGTCAATGCCACTGAAACAAATTTTACTGAAAGAATGATAAGTGTTAATGAAAGAATGATAATAATGACATAATATGTCGATAATATGTCGAGATACCTAAAATATATATTGCGCCCTATTGCCGCTAAGCTAACAAGAAAATAGTCTCCTTATAACTATCCTTCCAATGCTACCTTCTCAAGGTAGTTTAGAATTTTATATGGATCCAACATGCCCTAAATAATTTGTATTGTATTAGTTATAGTTACTTCCCCTAAAAAATAAAAAAAACAGGAGTGCCACTGTTAGTTTGTGATCCTGTGTGTAGTCTCTGTTTGTTGTCATAATTCATAGAAGAGCTAGAGCATATAAGACTCTAAGTGCGTCGCCGTTATAGGTGAGAAATTGTATTTTCCTCGCCTAGCTAATTTAGATTTTCTAATCACATGCAAACCATTTTGAACTGAATGAGTAGGAACTAAGAACTCAGCTTTCTATCAGATAAACCTAATTATAATCTCTTATCTGTGGAGTATAACTCAC